GCAGCTCTGGGCACAGCAGCTCTGGGCACAGCAGCTCTGGGCACAGCAGCTCTGGGCACAGAAGGTCTGGGCACAACAGCTCTGGGCACAGCAGCTCTGGGCACAGCAGCTTTGGGCACAGCAGCTCTGGGCTTAGCCGCTCTGAGCACAGCTCTGAGCCCATAATTTTCAAAAATTCGTTCGGAAAAATGTAGAAAAAGTGAGATTCCATGTTTATTCAGATCATGTATACTCATATGTATAATACATCTGAGTTGTAATAAATACCTTAAACCTTATCTAATTTGCTCGATGTATGTGGAAGTTCTGAATTACAAATGAATTAAATTTTGAGTTAATTAATAGTATTCATGTTGACACCGGATGTTATCATCCTAAATCAGTCTTTTATTAAATGAATGTTTTGCAAAAAAATTCAAACTGAAAATAAAATATTTTTAATTTTCTTTCTGAAAAATCCCAAAGGTAATTTGTTTCCATTACAAATAAAAACAGAAAAAGCATAGCAATAAGAAATTAGCAGTAAACTTAATCCTAATCGTAAAAGTTTCTTCAAAATAGTGGTCCCGAAATTTTTTTGTACTCTTGTGTGAGGATCAAATATTTCCTATTAAATAATTGGTAAGATCAATTGTTTGCTAAAATTGCAAGCTCGTGAAAAAATTAAACGGAAATGAAATGTTAAGTAAAGTCATATTTTCAATGAATATATTAAAAAATTTAGTTGCATCAAATAAATAATAAAGTAATATAAATAAAACAATTTCTCTATCGACACCCCTCACATCACACCCCTCACACCCCTCACATCACACCATCACATCACACCCCTCACATCACACCCCTCACATCACACCCCTCACATCACACCCCTCACATCACACCCCTCACATCTCACCCCTCACATCACACCCCTCACATCACACCCCTCACATCACACCCCTCACATTTTTCCCACAGTTCGCCATCGCGTTTTTACCGCCGCCATTTTTCTTTTTATTTTTTCCTTTGTTTCGTTTTCCCGAAAAGCTTCCCAGGCTCCCGAACCTGCGAGCTTCCGGCCACTGAACGTCTATAGCCTCATCTTGAGCTGACACTGATGTTTATGTCAGTTAATTGCTGATGTTATGCTGACATATTGATCAGTCAACTGCTGATGTTATGCTGACATATTGATCAGTCAACTGCTGATATTATGCTGACATATTGATCAGTCAACTGCTGATGTTATGCTGACATATTGATCAGTTAAGTGTTAGTGAGATTTTGATTTATCAATTTTTAGTGATGTTTTGAAGCTGTCGCAATTTTGACATTCTCTGTGTGTACTAAAATATTTTGTGTATAATCCATGATTTATATTTTGCTCAATAAATATATTGAAAATACGTATACAAAGTATATGTATTTTCCTGCAACTCATTCTTATCTGAGTTGGAGAAGTGATGAATACTTCGTGTAACTTCCAAATACCATATACTTTCCGTATATCATATTTCGTATATTTCTCAATTTAATTGTCCGTTTGCATATTACAATGCTATAGTTACCAGAATTGTAACCCAACCGTATACGCGGCCAGAGACCGATGGGCAGCACATTGTAATGTTATTCCTACCTAATCGGTAAATTAATCTGGCATACCAACTATCCATTTTATCCTGGCAACTTTGTATCATTATTCTTATTGCTAGTAAAAAGTCCGGGGAAAGCACAATTTCCTGCGTTGATTTTGCATATTTTGTTACACCAAAGCAGACTTGTTCTATCCCATATTATTTTGATCGAATGGAATACATAATTATTATCAGTGTCAGCTCTGCTCTTAAGCTGATCTATGTCAGCTCTGCCCTTATTCTGATCAGTGTCAGCTTCGACTGGTCACGCTAAAAACTCGGGTCTGATTTAGAATAAACACGTAAAATATTTTATTTTAACTTCAATGTAATTGAATAATAAATGTTTGGTAAAGTAAGACATTATTTTCATAATAATCGGTATTTCATTTATGACTGTCACACTGGTTTACCATTTTTACGCCTCAGTATCACATTATAATTGTTAATTTCAATCAAACTTCCGACACATGAAAGTTATAGTAAGCCAGGCTACAGCGTCTTATCGTATTTGGTTTCCATCCTCCAAAACAAACGCAACTTGAGACCGCACTTTACCGTGGGAAACTTTAAAATTATATTCGCATTTAACGTCGTGAATTAACGTCATTTAACGTCAAGGAACGTCCACAAGTCCGTTTTGTGTGACGTGCGACGCTATTTGACGATCATTACGACGGTCGAAGAACTCAAGTCGCGGTGGACATTTCCTTAATAAAATTCTTAATTCCACCATTAAAAATATCATCTTGACCATTAAAAATTTTCGCTTGACCATTCACAGTTAGCAACATGAGCTTCTGGTCTTTATTACCAAATTAAGGTCTCCATGCTAGCTAACTCTCTTCCATGAGCCATTGTGAAAAAATGTATCATTTATTATATAGTTACTGCTACAGTATTTTCTTATATCAACTGTGCATTTTTCGAAAATGATTAAAATTATAATAGATCTCTGTCGCAACCGTCAGACGCCATGTTTCTATCCGGAAATTTTTAATACGCTTTTAGATATTTTCAAGCAGCTTCTTTTTTTATATCAACGCCTGCGTAACGATTGACATTTGAAAAGTTTTGCAAAATAGTGCATGCCGAACACAAACATTTTCAGCTACGCTAAAATATTTTTTTTAAGCTACAACGTTATTCTCTAGACGCATGGAATATTTAACAACGGTATTTTTACTTTTCAGAATATCCGTGTTAATGTTCGTGCGAAATTGAAAAAAAGTGTGCATTGTGATAAGGTAAATATTTTAGGTGATTTAAATGTTGGTGATTTAAATGATCCTCTTCATATGCACGAACTTCCGACCAAGATGACTTCAGTTTCAGACGAAGCATTTCGTGCTCCCTCCACTCAAAAAGAACCTGTGGTCGCTTGTCACGATCTCTGGCGCTCATGTTGGGTACAGGGCGACGCATATCAGCAATACCAAGCTACCACCTCAACCGGAATCCATAAATCCCCTTTCAACCCCAGCAACTTCCAACCGGCAAGCGTATTCCTAAGAACTTCCAGCACCAGGTTGAAGCGTGAAAGTCCTTCTGGTTCTACCTCGTTGCCGTACTCTGGTAATGGTACAAGTTCTACCACTTCTCTGGTCACTACCGTCGGTGACACCAAGAATGTTCCCAACATCATTAATAAACAGAGCTCAATTACCAACAGTATTACCCGGAGTTCAAATATCAACAGTATTAATAAGATCTCTACCTCTAACAGTATTACTCAAAGCTTCACAACCAGCAGTGTTGGTCAGAGTTGTGCAATCAACGGTTTCAGTCAGAGCAACGGGTTCAACCATGCTCAAGTTAACGGTATCAGCCAAAGAAATGGTATCAGCAATGGAACCGGTAGCAGTCTAGGCACCGGTATCAGTCAAAGCACCGGTATCAGCAATAATAACCAAAGCCTACTTAAAACCTCATCGTCGCTGACGCTGACCACAATACCGAACCATGAAAGCCAAAACTCCAGTACCGACATCATGGACGCTGCCTTCGATCGCTCCTACGAATTTGCACTGAGGAAGAATGCATCGCTGGGATTTGGTTTATCCTCAAAGCATTTGTCCACCCCATCCCTGAACAAGGTTATCCCCACAGCCTCGTACCAAATTCCCCAAACATCCCCATCGCAGTATCCCATCCGGGGCAACAACCCTGAACATGTGGGGGATGCTAAGAGGTTAGACTACCTCAAACAACACATGCTTATGACAGCCTCATGTCAGCCTAACGACTTGAAGCTCACAAATAACTTAACTTGTTATAGTCTTGCTCAAAAAGACGATAAGTGTGCAACTACAACTTCTTCTTCTTCTTCTGATGTACCTGATAAAACATCTACGCCCATTTCTTCGAATAAATCAACCGAGGATCATCAGCATCAACTATCAGCACCATCGGCACCAAGACAAAACAACCATCAACACCAATTGTCAGCACCATCAGTATCAACACAAAGTAACCATCAGCACCAATTGTCAGCACCATCAGTACCAACACAAAACAACCACAATCACCAACTATCAGCCCCTACACAACCCAATTCAGAACTTTTGACAGGCTCTTACCCTCTCCAGTACGGTACTTTACCCCATAAAACCAAGTCCAAACCCCGGCCTCTACAGTCCAGGTCCGGGACTCTGCAGCGTCACAAATCTTCAGCGGAAATTTATTCTAAAAGCAGTTCAGCGGCGCAGACTTCGTCCCTAAATCGCTTACTCAGTATTTCTGCTGAAGACATTCGTCGTAGTTTGAAAGAAACTAATGACGTCATCCAGAGGCTGCTAGGCAGTGCGTGGAAAAAATCTGCTTATGTTAGGCCAGTTGAAGTTAAATCCGGAGACGCTAACATTAATTCGTCTTCCAGCAACAGGTATGTGGATGCTAGCGTCTGTTTACTTTATCTTATCTGTATTGTTTTGATGTTTTTTTTTTATTTGGAATCTTTCAATACATTCCAACTAAGTCTATGTCGTTCTATTCATTCGTTTTACTTAAATTATTGTATTTATTCCATTTGCTTCTATATCACTGTATTGATACTATTTACTTGTATGTCAACTATACAAGTAAATAGTATATATATATTTACTATATACTATACTATAATACTTATATAATACTTTAATACTTATATGATAACTATAATACTTTTATAATGCTATTATCATAATTAACGTCCTTCACGTCGCTTGTAACGTATCGTACCTTACATAAACTATTTCTCTATAGTTCTTTTCAGCATTCTATGTTGATAACCTTTTGGGTGATAATTATCGGTTGTTGATTATATTTGTTCAATTCGGCGAAAAGTTTCTTCTCAAAGTTTGATTATTGCACCACAATGTTGGTATTTTCCTGTCTAGTCGAATAGTCTATTCAATAAATAATTTTATTTCTAATGCATAATTCGGATAATTTATTTTGGTTATTTCTGCCGGCACAACATACAAGTTATCAATATTGTAACATAATATTATAATAAAGTATTACACAATCTACGATCTTACTAATATTGAAACATAATATTATACAATATTCGATCCTACCATAGAATCAAGGGCGGATTATCGGCGGCAATTCACCTGCCAACTGCTGGCCGCCATTGACACGCCCATAATTTTCCCCAACACGAAGTAGTTCATCTTGCTGAATAATTGTGGATTCTTGCATTAAATTAATGACGAATTAATTGATTATTGGTTATGATATATTTATTTCAGGTACATTTTTAGATAGATTTTCGATAAATTTGTGGTAGAAAAGCTTTAAATTTATATATATATTTTTTACATATATTTGATATTATTTAATTCTTGCTGGATGTGAATCTAGATCAGACACAGGCGTTATTATTACAATTTTTATGGATTACGTGGTAGTTTTTATGTTTGCCATCTTGTTGATTTTACAATTTTTATTCGAATAGAGGAATAATTTTTCTAATCACGTACGCATTTATATCAATTCTTCCTTCATATAATTTCATAATTTATTTACATAATCACATTTATTGTTTATCCAATTGCTTGTAGTATATTTTCCGTTTAATATCAACGCTATAATTTTCATTACATCACTTTCAGGATCTCATTTTCTAAATATTTTTTGTCCAAATATTTTATATATTTTTTAAAAACTTAATTTTAAATTTTATTAGAATCGATCCCATGATTTTATTTCTCTGCTATATATTTTTTTCAAATAATTCTGCAATTTTTCGCCAAGTTTCTATTCTGCTTTCATGATAAACTTTCTTGCTAGACACCTCGATGCCAAATCACATACAACCACATAATGGGTCATAAAAATCCCTCCCCCCATTACCCCCCACCCATTACCACCCCCCCTTTTACCCCTCCCCCTAACCCCTTTCACACTCAGAAAACATACGCACAACATTGTCCGAAAATTGACACACTTTCTCGCCCAACGCAAGAGCAGAGAGTGACTTAGCTCTGCCCCGGGCCAAACTGGGTCAGTGTGACCTACACAAAGGGTAGAAGTGCGTGGAAATTTGTACATAGCATCACTCATTTTTTTGAGTGCATCACAACCTTATTCGCAGCCACCTCAGCCTTGCCAATTTTTCTGCGAATATCGCAACGTTTTCAAGATGGCGGATTTTTGCTGCACAAAAACCAATAACCGAACTTGAAATGTCACCATTTTTACCGTTGCCTTATTACCTTATTTTTATCAGTTTAATAATCGCTAGGTTTTACCATGACTTTAATAGAGTTAATTAAATTATTATATTATTTTATTTATAATTAAAATCTTCTACTATTCTGTTCATTCCAATGCTCAGTATTGAAATATTAGAGTACACATGTGTACTACTGAATGATTTGAGTACACATGTGCACTATTCAATGTTTCGTACAGACACATTTATTGTTATTGTACGCCAAAAATAAATATTTTCTCAAATAACCTTTCAGTTGAAATGAATAATTTTTGGGTATATTAAATGTTCATTACCCAAGGGCTTTGTAGGATTTCTCCTATATATAGCTACAACTACATCACTTCAATATTCTGGATTTTCCACACGATTATTTTTCTGTGTGTGAGTAAATGACCGAAAATGTCTCGCTTTTGCGAGTCTGATCATATTTAGATCATTTTATTTATGTAAACGTAAATATTAAAATTAAATTATTGATTTTATTAGTATAATTAATTATACATATCCGTATAATTAGTAAAGTAATTAAAAATATTTACGGATGGGAATACATGCCTAAGGGCTAAATATTCTTACGCTCTGTAATTGTCTTTTGCTTTAATGAATATTTTATTGCTAACTGCCGATTTCGTATTATTAATTATCTTTATTACATACCTAATAATTTTAAAAAATCAAATATTCCATTGTACTTCCTTTCTCATGTAAACTAAATTGAACTTTCGAATTATATTTTACAAGTGTGCCACCTATTTATTCGATTCATAACAATATTAATAATAATAATATTAATCGATTTGTATGATCAAAAAAGAATAATAAATGTATCATAATTAAAAATAATTATGACTATAGCGATAATAATACTAGTAATAATAATAATAAAGATAATAATAATAATACATTTTGTTACCATTTACATATTTAATAGTCTTAAATTATTCACTTGTAAATTTAACTATTCTTCGTCGTCATCACCTCCTAATTTCAAATTTTTTCTTTACCCTTCACAGGTGAGTTGACGGGGCCCCAGCGGGTGCTGTGAGTTAATTGTTATTAATCATCTTATGTTTATTATTATTAATCATCTCTCTCAATTATCTCTCTTATTAATTATCTCTCTTAATTATCTCTCTTAATTATCTCTCTTATTAATTATCTCTCTTAATTATCTCTCTTATTAATTATCTCTCTTAATTATCTCTCTTAATTATCTCTCTTAATTATCTCTCTTAGTAATAATCTCTCTCAATTATTATTAATCATCTCTCTTAATTATTATTAATTATCTTAGTCATGTTTAAAATCATCAGCGGGTTATAGGCGGCTAATAAACGGCCAACAATAACACAGCAAACACCTTGGCTATATTTTGGCTATAATTATATATATAGCTCTAATGGTTTTAATTATAATTAAGGTTTTTTGCGATACCACAACTCGATGAATTTTATGCAAATATGAAGAACTATCATCTGAAACGTTATTATTTATTAAACTATCGTTACTATCAGGTATTACATTGCAGTTGTTATAAGAAAACATCAAAGATTCATATTTGTCTTCAGAATTTTATCTCATCATCGATACTTATACTTATACCATTTTAATAAGTATGTTTTACTTCTCATATATATGAACGTATTTACATTCTTATATATATGCATAAAATCAAGCGTTCTCTTTTATCGCGGCCTCGAATTAGTGGCATCATATTATATTTATCACTTTTCCTATTCATCTTATCTTTCAAATAAAAAAATACAAAATAAAATAATATCAGGGAGTATTTCAAGTCTTTACACGCTAAATTAAAGTAATTGTTACTCGTTACAAAAAGTTGACCAGCGGCCCTAAGTTGGGTCCCGGTAATGAAAGTTCGTGGCCCACACCCGTCCAGTATTGTTAATTATGAACCATCGTTCGCGTTAATTAGTTACATGTGCTATTCCTACGTAACAAGCTTAGCAGTCATGTTATTCCTACGTAACAAGCTTAGCAGTCAATGTTATTCCTACGTAACAAGCTTAGCAGCCAATGTTGTTCCTACGTAACAAGCTTAGCCGTCAATGTTATTCCTACGTAACAAGCTTAGCCGTCAATGTTGTTCCTACGTAACAAGCTTAGCAGTCAATGTTATTCCTACGTAACAAGCTTAGCCGTCAATGTTGTTCCTACGTAACAAGCTTAGCAGTCAATGTTATTCCTACGTAACAAGCTTAGCAGCCAATGTTATTCCTACGTAACAAGCTTAGCAGCCAATGTTGTTCCTACGTAATAAGCTTAGCCGTCAATGTTATTCCTACGTAACAAACTTAGCAGTCAATGTTATTCCTACGTAACAAGCTTAGCCGTCAATGTTATTCCTACGTAACAAACTTAGCAGTCAATGTTTTGTCAATGTTATTCCTACGTAACAAACTTAGCAGTCAATGTTATTCCTACGTAACAAGCTTAGCAGCCAATGTTGTTCCTACGTAACAAGCTTAGCCGTCAATGTTATTCCTACGTAACAAACTTAGCAGTCAATGTTATTATTCCTACGTAACAAGCTTAGCAGTCAATGTTATTCCTACGTAACAAGCTTAGCAGTCAATGTTATTCCTACGTAACAAGCTTAGCAGTCAATACTATTCCTACGTAACAAGCTTAGCAGTCAATGCTATTCCTACGTAACAAGCTTAGCAGTCAGAGTTATTCTTACTTAAAGAGCTAAGCAGCCAATGTTATTCCTACGCAACAAGCTCAACGTCAATGTTATTCCTACGTAACAAGCTTAGCAACAATGCTATTCCTACAAAAAAACAGCTAACCAACAGACGATGTTCCTGTTAGAACTCTAATTTGTTAATGGTATTTCTACCGAACCGCTACCAAAACGATGCAAATATTAGTAAAAATTCAGTTAAAAAAGTATAGGAGTATTTTCGACGGCCGAAAGGCGGCCATTTAGTGACCAGCGCAATTAATATCGGGCAGAAGTGTACAACTACTGGGGCAGAAGTTGGCAATTTAGAGCAATTTGAGATGGTCGGGCAATGCAGCTGCAGCTGGCACTTAGTAAATTGCTGTAATTAACTTATTGATTGTGAAGCAAACTTATTCGTCATGGAAGAGAAGGAAGAACATTCCTTGTACTCTTTTTGAGTTATTATTTAGTTAAGGTTTTATTTTTGTTATAG